TTCAGCCTACATGTACATGTGTACCATGCAATGTATTCATCTACCGATATGGCCTACAAAGACTCATGCAGGGATGACTTCTTGCCTCCCGCGCTTTCTACACTGACTGTCCCACACCCTGAGCCACTGTCTTCAGACACCTTTCCATCGGAGTTACTCAGCCATGAATTTGACACTACACCTTGCTGGGCCACTTCCCCATTGTCAGTGGAGTTGGCCCCGATGAAGCTACATCATGGGCATCAGAACCCATTGGCCTGCTTTGCTGAAGGGGCTTCCGCACACTGCATGTCACTCCGCTGTCTGGCTTTCTTTTGGGGCTCACCAGGAAGAACGACTCTGAGGCATCCACCCCGGCGGCTCACAAACACCTCCTTCTGCTGAGTATGAACCACAGCCTGGAGACAGCAGCAGTCCCGTCTCTCTCCGAAACACTTTCATCATTAGCCAGTTGCCTCAGTCCAACACCTCTAAGGAGCTTTCATCCAATCAAAGATTGACAGCCGACTGACCGTAATGTATTAAATTGTATATTTTATTGAGTTAATTAGGCCAGTAGACTTTTTTAGTGGCTGCGTCTTTTGATTGACAAAGCCTGCCTCAGGATTTCTTTATCATGTTTATCCAAACCTTGGTCAGGTGTGGTTTATATTGTTCTCTGCCCCACCTCGTAATCATTCTCAGCATCCAACCCACCAAAAATATCAATCCTTCCTATCTCAGTATTTGCTATCCAAACCTACATGTAGACCACGGGCGGTTTTTATTTTTCCCTGTCCCACCGCTTAACCTTTTTTCTTTTTATTTCTGGCATCCTACATGAACATGCCAAGAATATTAAGCATTCCTGTTTCAGCATTTCCACTCTATCTTACGGTACAGTAATATGGTTTATTTTCAATCAGAGCATCCAACCCACGGAAAACTGTTAATCCTTCCCATGTCAGCATTTCTTTTCTACCCAAACCTGGACCAATTGTGGTTTTTATTTATTTTCGTTCCACTGCAAAATCTTGTTTCTTTTCAGTCCAGGCATCCTACATGCCAAGTATATTAATCATCCCCTCTCAGTATTTCTTTTCTATCTAAACAAGACCACGTGTGGGTTTTATTTTTTTCTCTCCCCCACCGCTAAATTTCTTATTCCATTCCCAGCATCCAACCCGCCAAGAATATTAATCCTTCCCATCTCAGCATTTCTTTTCTATCTAAACCTGGATCACTTTTGGTTTTTATTATTTCCCAGCCCTATTGTCTAATCATTATTTTTATTCGTCCAGCCGCCCCCCAAACAAATGTTCTTTGCATCTTTGTTGCGACACTTACATGTACATGTAACTGCTGGTCTTGCGCTCTCAGGACCACGGAATTTGCAAAACAGTGCACTATCTGAATCACATCTGGGCACTGCATACGAAGGCATTCTGAAAAGCTGTTTCGAATGCAAAAGTATTTTTGATTCAGTCCCTAACTTGAAACCTATCTACGGGTAAGATCCATCTGCATAGTTTTCCTATTTGAGGATTTTTTAAATGGAAAATTCCATACCTTTTGCATGTAGCGTTGGTCAGTCGCATACAAGCATGAGTTCAGTACAGTGAGTCAACACAGCTGCCAGAGCAAGCACAAGAATGATGGATACTCTCTTCTAGTAAAAACGTTTGTTGTATCCAAAAGTCTTTGAATTCCCGATATAAATGTACATGTAACAGGCCGAACAGCAAAGTGATGCACATTCCTGTGGGAGAAAATCTGTTACATGTACATCGAAACTGTATAGTACAAAATTCCATTTACAACGAAAGGTTTTCGAACTGTCGTGTATAAAAAGCATTGTTCATATAACCATACAGCTAGGAACAACTTCGTGTCAAATGCAGGTCTAGCAGCTCCCAATCTTTCTGTTGCTGTCTGTTTTTTGGATACACGCGTGGACTGTGCACAACACAATCTACATATCGATGACTACTATTGGTATACAGTAGCAAGCAGCTACATGTACATGTATGTTCACCTAATAAAGCGACGGGCATGTATTCTTGCATCTGAATTGAAAAGTCAGTTCTACCAACATGAGAAAAAATTAGTGTAAACTTTTTTCAGAAAAATAAGATGCAACATGTAGACCTTGCATTGCCAATCTTATTTTTTGCACACAACGACATATCATTAATGCTGTATAAAATGATTCAGAAAAACTTGCTCGAACCGCCCAAATATCAATGTACATGTACTGTTGTAGTGAATTCCGGAACAGCTTTCTACACTCCTGCCCAGATAATCCCATCATTGTCCAGATCTACAGCCTTTATAATTAAATTTAATAGACAGGGCGGGGTACTCCATTGAGTAAAACATTGTAAAAAGCTTCAGTGCTTGCAGCATGCCTCTCACTCCTTCGCTGTGCAGCAAAGCTTTAAGAAGCCACTGGTCCACTACTGAATTCAACTACTGAATTCAACTTGTGTTTGGATGTGGGGGTAGGATCCGGCTTGGCAGTGTTTGCTCCTTACGGTGAATATCCCTACGGAAGGCCACATTTTCTTAGTATTTATTTTTGTAAATATCTACAACAATTTTGCTGAGTCAAGAAACGGCCGGAGAAGACCGAGACTCAAGCTTTTTATTTAGGGGTAACTATTTCTATCTTTATTTATCGACCAAACCTCTAAACTGTATCCACCTTGTAGCCCTATTTAGTCACACTCCACAGTGGTGGCTTACATCAACCGCCAAGGAGGTACCCCCTCTCCTCAACTATGCCTCCTGACTAGACGAATGTTCATGTGAGCGCTAGACCATGGAATTGAACTCTAAGCGACCTACATCTCAGGAGTCAACAACTCCATCACAGATGCTTTCTCTCTCTGGGAAAGGTTCAACTGACAGAATGGACACTACAGGCCAGTGTGGTTGAGCAGATCTTCGTTGAAGTAGAGAAGCCAAACACTGACCTCTTTGACTTAGTGGAAAACACCCAGCTACCGGTGTTCTACATCAGATTTTATCACCCCCAGGCCGGGGCGACAGATGCTCTACAGATCAGTCGGAGCAGTTTGCTGGTGTACGTTTTTCCACTGATATCCCTAATTCTGGCAGTTCTCTCCAAGATTGAACAGGAACACCGCTGGGTGCTTTTTATTACCCCATTCTGGCCTCGACAGCCTTGGTTTCCCCGTCTAATCAGGCTACTCATGCAAACGCCACTTGTTCTAATCGCCAGACCAGATCTCCTTCACCAACTGAAGTCGGGTGTACTTTATCCTCACCCAGCGTCCCTATATCTGACCTGCTGGCCTTTGTCAAACAATCCTTCTGATCAGCAGGACTTTCTGATGAAGCTGCTGAGATGGCCGCCAACTGACATGAAATGTCTTCAACAGCAGAATACGACATTTGCTTTATGGTGTACAGAATGAGGTCTTACTGTAATTGAAGCTCCTTTGACCATCATGACTATCTTCATGTTCCCTTTCAAATTAGGACTGCAAGTAGCAACCATTCGGAATTATTAGTCTGCCATCGCAGCCGTTCACAAGGGTTTTCCTGATGGTTCGCCTGTGTCTGATGACGCATTCTAACATCTCTGTCAGGGAATGTTTATACAATGCCCTCCCAACTAGGAGATTAGTTCTTTCCTGGGACTTATCAGCTGTCCTCCAACTCCTCGCTGGTTCTCCTTTCGAACCGTCAGCAAGGCCTCATTACTGCATATGACAGTAAAGCTAGCCTTCCTACTTGCAGTTACTGCATCACGGCGGGGCAGTGAATTGAAGGCACTTTCCATCACTGAATGCCACATAAGATGGGAACTCCATGGCATCTGCCTCATCCCATCTCTGGGTGTCCTCGCTAAGAACCAGTCGGCCACCTTTCATCCTTCTGGCATTTTTGTTCCAGATATAACCAAAAACTCTGGAACTCCAGAAGACAAACCATGGTGTCCAGTGAGAACTGTTGAAGGGTACCTTGTCAAAATCAAGAAACTGAGAGGTACAACATTGCAGCTTTTCATCATAACAATAAAGCCACGTCATGCTACGAAGAGAGACACTATAGCTGTATGTAGATGGGCAGTGTTGGCAGTCAAATTTGCCAATCCAGACTGGCTAAACATTGCAGACAGTCAGACTCAATGCCTCATCAGGGTCCATGACATCCAAGCAGTGTTTACCTCATGAGCCTACTTCCGGGATGTTCCGATGACGGAGATACTGTATGTAAGGCAGTATGCTGGAAGACCCCATCGACATTCACCTCATGTAACCTCAACGATGTCCTACAGAGAGACTGTTCACATGGCAAGGCGATCCTGACATCGGTCACAGCGATGCAGAGGGGTTCCTCGTTGGGACTGGCCAACACTGGAACTAACCTCACATCTGCACTGTCTGGTGAATCTGTGTTATAGCTGGTCATCCTATGATTATACATGTATATTTACCTCTAACCACACATCCAAGTGTGCATTTNTCACTTCTCTCCCTTGTGCAGTGTGTCCTTGCATTACCCTCCTTTGGGGAACAGTGCTACTTTGCATATTTAGTGACTGTTTGGGACAGGATGGCAGCAGAAGACTCCTCCCCCACAGAAAGGTGTGCGAGGTCCGCTATCAAAACCTGCACAAACAGGCGGATCCTTCCCATGCTCCCCACTTTTTGCTCTGATGGTTTTTATGCCGAAAAAGGACAAACATGTCGGCCGCTTCGTTATGCATCATGGGTCTAGAGGGCCACTACAGTTGATCAAATATTTAGTGAAAAAATCAGGCGCAAAGGAAATTCACATGTTTAGCGACTTTTTGGGATACAAGTACATGTAGGTATTCAATAGGAGACCTCTCTCACATTCCTGTGGGGGAGGACTCTCATACATGAGACAATCATTTGGTTTTTGGAAAGTGACTTTAATGCTTGTATGATATCAATTCAATGCTGGTTGTATATAAAAACGTATTGTGTGAATAGATGATGGCAAAATATACCCTTTGTTTCATTTAGATTTTCATATGGCCAGCCTAGTGATGGGAACAGTGCAGCACTTCTACAAGAAACAACTGCAGGCCGCTCTAGTGACTCTACCCAACCAGAACTTTCATCTGCCCAGTTAGTCTGCAGTCCAGCAACAAGTAACATTGGTTCAAATGAATTGAGGTCCAATCAAGGTCATCAGACCCATCTTCCTGACCTACCAGCCTGGTATGGTGTTAAGGTACAGTAGGCACCCACTGGGATGAGTACTGCTAACAGTTTTTAGATTGTTTACCAGTATTTAGGGAAGGAAAGGCATCATTACATTTTACAATGTTTGTGCAAATTTACTTGTGTCTGTACATGTAAATGCCAAAGGAAGAAACCTAAGGGCCTATCCATTTTTGTCATCCTTTTGGCAAGCATACACACCATACTCTTTCATCTTACCCCCCTTCTCAAAAGCATGTGCAAGAAAAGAATGATGGCCAATTGACCTTTTTCTAAGTTTATAAATGCGTACAAAGGCTGTAAATCCCCTCCCGTCGAAGTGCACATTTTGTATGCTTGCAAAAAAAGATGACCCCGAAAATGGAAGAAACCTCCAAAGACCTTGTACATGTACATGATTTGCTTGAAAATTATACATGTGCATGTACATGTAGCATTTTCCAAAAGGCCTGAATTTTAAATGAAATGGCTATTAAGTTCACATCTTTTGTCCCTCTGCATCCTCAAGTAATATACAAACATACACGTTGTCGATGCTCAAGCTGGAGTTTTTGCCTCCAGGCAAGGGAAGCTGCAGTAACTAAGGCACATTAATTTTTTATCTTTGAACTTTTCATTGCAGATCCAGCTTATTCAAGCTAAACTTTTAAAATGATACCTGGAACAGTTGACTCTACTGCACTGTCTGTATTTTTTGTCTTTGTTATCCCACAGAAAAAAGAAGAGAAACTCCAGGCATCAAGAACAGAAGTCCTCAAGGTTGGTGATGTCAAGATTGAATGGCACCTTCTACCGATGTACATGTACTGCCACCTTTGCCTAACCAGGAGAAAACAAAAGAGGGCAGTAAAGAGCCAAGAGTGCTCAAGTACATCTGCAGAGCCACACACAAAACATGATATACATGTATGTACACAGAATGTAGGAAATGCTTCCGAGTACTCACAGTCAGCTAACATCGGAAATGAGTATTGTCATAGATCTTTACTTCAATTGAAGGGAGCTTTCTCTGAAGATTCCGTCAGTAATTCAAGCCTCAAAGATGCCAATTTTGAAAATAAACCTGACTTTACAGTCAATTCAGCTGCTCAGAATTCGCCCAAACTTAAGCATGATGCCTCAGTAGGTATTAAGCCAAGTGATCACCATGGTGAGTCTCTAAATGCACACATTAATGGTAACTCCAAAATGAGCCCAAAGAATACAAGCACACCAGCCGGGGCATTGCCATGTTCTCCTGTAAGGAAGACTGTGAGCATGGCCACAACAAGAACCAAAAGAACTGACCGGAAAGAACTGAGTCTGAAACATTCTGGACATCATGAACCATCACAGTTGAGAAATAAGAAACAAAGTAGTGTGCCAAGATCTGTCCAAAAGGAGACTGATTCAGACAAACATGTACAAACCTTAAAGATAGAGAGGGCACCACAGACTAGTTCTCATATCAGAACATTTCCAAAGGATGGGCTGCATTGCTCTTCTCTGTCTGAAGTTTACCAAGTACCGGTAACTGCCATAGATTCTGAGCAACAAGTTCAATGTGATGCCCAAAACAAGACTGATATGCAGCATGGAACCTCAGAGATGAAACTTGCCGACTCGTCAATGTTACAGTTAAAAAAGGATGTCAGAGAACAGTGTTTGCCAAGAAATTCTAAATTATCTTGTAAACATCAACCTGTGCCCAACTCTCAGCATTTAAAAGACAAGTCCATGAATCCCAGTTACTCATTGAAGAGCCAGTCTCCCACACTATCAAAGACAAGAAGTGTACCTTTACCAGCAACAAATTATCACCAAGAAACCCAGGATTCAGCGCTCTCATCAGATGTTATTGTGCTTGATGGTGGTGAAGAAGAAACCTTACCAACATCCCTTTCATATAAACGAAAATTGTCAAAAACTTTAAGGGACACACACACCACATTTTCCAAGAAGTTGAAAACGGTAAAGTCAGTAGAAGAGACTTCTGCTAGCCCTGCTGCAAGGTTACTGTTTGAACCTAAATGTCCAATTAGTAAGCACAGTGTAAGAGACTACAAGCCAGGGTTTGGTGGACAGAAAAAGACTTCTCAGACTAGATTGGAGAACATGGGTGTGCAGACAACTCCTAGTCAAACCATGAAGCAGCCTTCCATACCTTTAAGTGACTGTCAAGCAGCTTCACAGAGGAAATCATCCACTGCCAATCAAGGTAACCATATTTATTCCAGGCAGGCCATGTCAAGTACTGGCAAGAAAACATCTTTGAATATGTTTTCAAATGTGCAGCCTCTGTTTAAGAAGCAAACCACTGAACAGCTGGAAGCACAATATGAGGCAGACTCTTCAAAAAATCATCCATTGAGTAACCAAACTCGGAATCAGCAAATGCTACCAAAGGGAACTTATCCAAAGGGAATTAACACTTGTAGAGAAAGCCACCAGAGTGCCCTTCACAAAGGGGTTACAGCAACCTTGAAGGAATCTGCTCAGCAAGGAAAGATGACAAGTGTCACCCTGCCAGCTGCCAGTGCCAATTCAAGTCGGAATCAACTCTCCAAGCAACCACACAATCAATCTACACCTACATTCAAGCCAAACATTGCAGTCAGCCCACTTGAAAAACCACCATCATTGTCAACAGGTTTTCACACAGCCAGGGATATCCAGGCTAATCGGGACACCTACATGTACATGTACCCCAAACAGGGTACTAAATCAAAGGTTGTTAGGGATAGTACAAAACATGACAGTAGAGCAAGACGAGAAACTACATGTAGCTCTCCTAAGAAGGTTACTAACAATATCCCATAGGACATTTGTCAGAATATAAGGAGTAAGCCAGTCCCTTGTCAATTCATCAACTCGGACCACAACACCAAGCAAAGTACCACCACAGAGAGTGCTGCCATTGAGAGCTGTCCTTTGTGTCGCTTGAAGTTCCCTGACAGGTAGGGTATGTTTTTTTACTTGGACCTTGCAGTCAGTAGCAGGGAGAATGATCATGTGCCATTTGTGCATATTTTTTTACAAATGGCTCAAAACATTTAGACAGGTGTATAGCCTGATGAAGTGTCAGCTCTGTGAATGCTGTACATGTAACTTGAAGCATCTTGTACAAATGACTTTATTTTCCTCAAAACACACCCTTCGGGGCATATATAAATGCAAAGTCAAAAGGCATTGAACGTGTGTGTGCTAACTCTACATGTACAAGCAGAAACTCTTCAAGGCATACTTAAAGGGTTTGAAATGGTAAAGACATGGAGTGTTAATTAATTAAGGTAAACACTATCAAATATATCTACTAGAATTTCAGCTCTTTTTCCATATTGGTAGAACTTGTAGGTACATGTGATAACTTCCTGCAGTGTTTTCAACAATTGAGGGGATAGTGTTTTCAAGCCAATTTGAAGTGCTGGAAGAACATCCCTGTGGTTCTCTGAAGGTCAAGCCATTTTAGCATGTTGGGACAGATATTAACCCCCTGTTCGGTGAGGGACCCTTGGAGGTTGAAGGACGAGAGTAACCATCAAAGCCCTGCTTGTTAAGACCCTAATAAGATTGAAAATTTCACACTACATAGTTTTGAATTTGGTTCATGAATGTACATGTCTACTGTAGTTGGCAATGTTGTAGTCCAGTCTGTCAGACATTCTTTCACAAGTCCAGTCATGAGTATTCAAGTCCAGTCATGAGTATTGAAGAGGGTCTCCAATGACAAAGAGTTTCCCTTGTCACAGTTCATTTGAATGGCCAGTTAATTAGAGACTAAATGATTCATGAGGCTCATAAGCTTTTCCTGGTGAAGGTGACAAATCAGGTTGGTGGTAGCACCAAGCTAGGGAATCTCTTCTGAGTATGTGTGGTTTTAAAAAAAAGGAGGGTAGTCAACGATTTGGACAGGAGGCTCTGTCCATTATCGTCAGGAGACTGAACGATTTATGATGGACTCGATTACAACTCGGGTAATTGGGAACTCTCAACCTGCAAGCTTCACCCATGCCTTTAAATTCTGTACTTTTAAAACGTTTTTGTCACTGTTTTCCTTTTAAATAAGCTTGACACCTTTTGGAAGAGACAGCCACATAGCAGAGTGCTTGGCAGCGAGCTCTGATAATGCCACTTGGTAGGATGACGGACAAGAGGAACTTTGAAGTGGAGTCTATAATCTGGTTACATGCAAGAATTGGTCGATTCAAAACAGCAATTTTCATAGTAATTGGTGTTTAACTTGAGCATTTCCTGTTAACATATTGTACTCTGCAATTTGTTGCACTTTTTTACATTTTGTTCTTGCAACAATGACTATTCTTAATTTGGTTAATAACCAAGGAAAACTGTAATTCCCTTATCAAAGATAATACATTTATCTTTTATTTGTAAATGTTTTGTGTAGCAAAATTACCGTGCAATTAATAAACCGTGCTTATTAATAACCTGTCTTTCTGTAACTTTGAGGGTAATGGAATGACAGTAATGGAATTATGAGATTTATATTGATCATATGTACTACTTGTTTGAGTTTTGTCCGCTTTAAAAAAGCTGGCCTTTTTCAAACTGTGTCACAGCTGGGGCATTCCATTGCCACGTGGTAGTCAGTCTGTGTCATTGGAAAAAAATGCATTTTTAGCTGACCTGTCTCGGCACAATGGCACTATGTGAGGATGGTATGTCCAATTTACACAAAATGGGTGTCAAACTGAAAAAAATATACAAAGGGGTAGCAATCCCCCCACCCTACTAGGGTTAAATGATCATGTTACTTGTATCTAGCAAGATGGGTAACTGATGATACAAGATTATTTAGCAAAGTGTCTCAGCAACTCAAGATAGGTTCATTCCTATTTGGAATATGCTAAGTAATTCCCACCAGGACTGCACCTTGTTTCAAAGGAAGGAGCTTTTCTTGAGCATGTTGATCTCATTTATTTGTCGAGTTAAACTAGCCTTGCCACTGTGGGTTTAGCTGGGCATTTATAATCAGGCCATGTCAAGAGGGTATGTCCACTTGCTCTAGTCTACTTAGTAAGACTTCCTTGATGGTAAGACAAGATACTGTGGAAATTGAGTGCAACTTGAAAAAATGCACTGAGAATATTGTGCTATATGAAATCTCAGGTGTAGATGTCACACATGTATTTTTGACATGCCGAGTTAGAGAGGTTGTGGAAGACAAGAAAATCACACTCTCCATGCAATTTTAAGAAAGCAAATATATTTACAGATTGTCTGCATATTGATGAGTAGATTTTATTAACAAATTTGACATAAAAGCATCTCATTTGCAATGGCATTCAAAAAAAAGTAAAAACAATTTACTTTAAATCAGAAATACTAAGTAGACAAAAATACTCTGGTCAGTAGCAGCTTTGTGTGTAAGACCACACAGCTGTATAAAGTAACAGACTATGATAAACTCATGACTTGCCCACTCACTGCAGTGCAGCCGTAGCTTAATAATGCAAAACGAAAATGCATGTAAGCTCTAGGCAGGGTTGAGATGAGGGGTAAATGAAACATCCAGAAACTAATCCGAGGTTTGAAGGCCCCACAGTAGCATCAAGTCTATAGTATAAAACCTACATGTAAATTTGTGCTTGTCTACATATATCAATACCCCTTACAATACCTATTTCTTGTGCTCAAAATCAACTTTTCATACATAAAAACAGGATTTCTGAGATTAAAAGAGATTGTTTAAAAATTAATAAAATCAGGGAAAATCCTCACAAATCTCACATGTGCCTTGGAGATTTTTGATCACTTGAACTAGTTGTATAAATTAGCCTTTTTGAAGTACAGTGGCCGCAGTGAGAGGGTGCTATTGGAAGTGGGTAAATTTGAATAAGAGAAAGAATTTACGAAACCAAATAGAGTTCTCTTATTGCATTCACCACATGGTATTTATGAGAAGCTAATAAGCCTTTAAAAGACGATGTTATACAAGAGTAGCTCCATAATGAACTGTACGGTACATAAATGTACTGCACATGATGGTTTCTGTTCACCACAAGCAGTGTTTAGCCCCTTTATTATATGTAGTTTCCATGTACATGTGTTGTGGCATTCAGCATAGCAAATTCTTTACTTTTTACCTTAAAATGGAGTCTCCAAGTTTACAATTTTTCCCCTCCAAATCTTATGTAATGAATGAACTTGAACGATTTGCCATTTGTCAGAGTACACAAGTAATGTTGGGCATCCAAAGTTTGTCCTGATCTTGGTGATGGAATCGGAGTGTCTTCAGTCTTAGAGAATCCAAGGTTGAAGTGTGTAATGTGTATACCAGATATTCAGATTATTTTGAGTGTTGATGCAGAGTACCAGTTGGACAGTTTGCGAATTTCCTTAAGGATATTTTAAGTAAGCACAAGAGGCTTACTTAAGTGATAGAACTAACAACAGAATTAACGCATGCAAAAGTAAATGTGAACTATGCAATTTTTAGTTTATTAATATCATATTCAGTAACGACTCAATAAACATTAGACTTTGCATACTTGTTTATGAATATTCATGTTAGATTGTCTACCCCATGGCCTACACCCAACTATATAACACATGATCAAACATAAAGAAAAAGAAAAAAACACAAAGACGAAAATAAAATTGTAATTGTTAAATTAAGTATACGGTATTTTCATAATTTGATGCTTGAAAATAAGTTTCCACAAATAATTTATGTATAACAGTGAAACTAAATTTATGTAGCTATTGGAATTTTTGTATCTTAAATAATAGTACCTTGTCGGTAACTAGAGTTGAGAATGTTTGTTTAATTTTTAAAAATTTGTGAAAATTGTTCTGGTGAGGTCATTATTACAGTGCAAGTCACATACTGTATGTTCACATTTCTTGGATAAATATCAGATCACATAAAAAAAAAACCTGCAGCTGAAATTCAAACTAAATGTGTGAAGAATATACACATGCAGTAACTGCTGGATACAAAATACATGTAGGTAGTTAGGTATTGTTTTTAATAAATCTGCATGTAGACTGAAAGTCAAATAGCAAAGACAAAACCCTGACAAAAATAGTGATTTTTTTAAAATAAGAGGAGACCCTGCCTATTCTCATCTTTTCACTGAGAACTAATAGGGGGATGCTATGTGTCCTTCAGAAGTGAATTGGTTTTCTGTAACACCGATGTCTATGAGAAGTGATGGTAACTACTAGGCATGGGCTTTCATACGTGCTTATCTTCACAATTTTTTCCCAGGCTGTGGCCGTAACTTAATTCGTTATTCTGCACAATCCTCTGTTTCCATTTACAATTCCCCTGCAACTTAAAATGTTTCCAAAATGCCAACAGTTCCATTGCACAATACACTCAAGTTAGAGTTGCCAAGTGACATCATTCACATGACATATTCTGCTCTTTAAAGGTCAAGGCAAAAGTTAGAATCTGGTTAAATATATCGCAAAACATAGTTTACAAATATACAGTTATATTACAGTTGAATCAAGGTTAAATACTACAGCCAGATCTCTGTATGAAAGATTAGAAAATGTGAAAAGGAAATTATCTGCCTTTTTGAACAATGAAAAGTTTTCCAAATCTTATTCCAAGCCACCAACCCAAGTTAAAACATTCATTATGCCAGCTTTATACTTATCAAACCACATTCCAGACACAAAGAAATATACATGTATCACTGAATTTTTGAGACAACGAAAGTCGAATTTCTAAATTTTTTGCCAGCCTCCACAAGTGTTTGATACACTTTTTACCACTTACAGACAGCATTATTCACAGCATTGAGTCGAATGCACAATTTTATTTTGGGTTGAATGTACTGGTTTTTAAAAATAACACGATACCACAACCACAGTCCTTTACAAGCTGGACTTTACAAATGCTGACCCAGGTGGTCATTGGATTTGTAAGCCATTTGTACTGCATCACCCTGTTCTGAACTCTCAAACAATGTCACCAAGTGATATTTACAACAGCGGTAGCTAACCATGGCACAGACTCTTGAGGACTCCACAGACATTTAACCTCCAGGGAGTAGTTTCAGCTTGCTTGATGTACAAAGACGGTAGGAATTGCTCGAGTGTGGGGAGGAGTGACAGCATCCAATAGACATGACACTCACAAGAATACATGCTTAGATATCACCTGCATTTTAGGCCAAGAAAATCCCTGCAGGTTAATACACATACTGGTTCTGTGGTTATTACACTGATTTTGTTGGGACCGAAAATGTGTGGACAGAGAAATGTCCCAAAAAACTGTCTTAGTTTGTCCTACAAAAGAAATTGTCCCCTTAACGACGTGAAGACCTGCCCATACCCTCTGAGGTGAAGTGGTAAAACCAAAAGTGCTTTATCTGTCTCAAAAACAGGGTTTTTACTAAGGGAGTAAATAAATGCTTGGCTGGTCTTAAATGTGTGTTTGCAAGAGAATGGACAAGACTAATGCCTGAGCTGCAGGCAAGGGAATTATGAGAGTTCAGTCTCCAAGCACATATCTATTCCCATTCACAAATACCTTTTTTCGTCAGATAATCAAAAGAAGTCCATATATGACATATTTCCAATGAGTTTTGTTACATAACTTTTACTTTTATTTTCCTGAACACACCATTGATTTTATGGTATATGCCTTGTGCAAGTTGTCCAAAAGAAAGTCAAAGAATTGGCAAGTGCGTGGCATGTCACATGCACACAGAAACTTGGCCAATAAGAACCGATTCAACTGACTCATATCCAGGTGCTAGCGTGTGATTTATGTATTATTACTTCTCAGTGGGCATTATAAAATGTTACATGGTCAACAAATTGAAGATGCACGTTGGTGAAAAGGGATACTGAAGTATATATGAATGAAAGATAACTACAGCAAATGTCCTTACGCAGCAAGTAATGAAAAATTACAGGAGCTACATGTACATGAGACAAGACGTAACCTCAATCCTCGGTATGTAATCCTTGTCATGTGACTCAAATTGGCCTTTCATATATGCTGCAGTATGCGGGCAGCTTTTTTTTTTAATTCTTAATTACATGTAGGTCAGGGCATCTGCAATCACCTACATGAACATGTCATTGCTTCTCTAAATTCTTTTTTTTGGGGGGGGAGGGTTGTTGTCAGTTGCATTGTTGCCCTCCAGGAACATGTCTACTTGATTATCAAGCTTTCAAGCAAATGCTCAACTTGAAAATAAATTTCTTCACTGCAGTCATATGATTATTATAAAGTACAATTCAAGAATGTCCAACCTTACCCAGGGACTGTAAAGGAAACTAAGCAGAACCACTAGTATTAATTGAGATTGCATTTTCCAAATTAACTTCTAAAGAACACATTACAGCGAAGTCATGAGACTTTGAGCTGTGTGATGTTGCTCATATGTCACATGATTTGTACAGCCCGGCACTCGGCACTAGGTTCATCTCTATATCATCAGAACTGCCCAAATAATTGTCCATGTCAAAGGTAGGTTAGTGTTGTTTGGCCCAAATCATCAAGAGACCTCCGGCTGTCCTTGTGACCCCAAGAGCTTACTTTCTCACATTTTTGGCCGTCCGGAGGTGCTGGTCGCATAGAGAAAGCAGTCGGTGTCGCTGCTTGAGGTTGCGTGCCAGCACATGGTCATTGACTACCTCTTGTGTGTAACTTGCAGGGAACCAGCCCTTTGCATGGTCACTGACACGCGTGCCATAATACCAACCTGAAAGGCAAAAAGAAAATCAGATGTGTTGGCCAGGCTGAACAGAAAAAGTTAAAGATCACCATGAAAGCGTGTTGGACGATTATACTGGAAAGAGGATGCTTTCAGAGCATATTATGCAAAGTAAATGTAGAAAGTGTCCTTATAACTAGACCCAACAAAATAAAGCAGTACATTTGTTTTCCTTATGAACTTGAAAGGACATTGAAACTCATCACTTGGAGATATCCCTTTATATGTCATCCTAAAAAGCAACCACTATGTTTGGGTAAATAGCGGTATACAATGAATGGAACAAATCATTTCATTTGCTATTCTTTGAGACAAAGCCACATGGAATGGCACATTTCATCTGTGACAAAACAAAATCATTCTTTAAACTACACGAATGCCACAGAATGCCTAGATAAATCCTGAAAACAATCTTTGCATCACCTGAATAAATTCTGAAAAACTCCTATCTTGAATAAATTCATGTGTCACATAGGCGCCCAGAAGTTTCTTACGACTGTGAAACAGTCTGCTTTGTTTACTGTAGAACGGAACTTTTGTTCTTGTGATGCAGCCATGTCATGCACTGGGATGAATAAGTAAGTGACATGATCAACGATCTCATCAATCGGACAGGGATTTATTGAGGCACTGTCTTACTCCAATTGATTTCATTTAGCCGCATTTATTTCAATGCGTGTAGCTCAAAAGTAGCTCTGACAACGTTGAGCAATACATTTACAGTAAACAACAAAATTATTCATACCCCTTATAAATTTTAATTTTTTGTGTGTTTTTCTAAAGAATGAAAGGTGGGCACATAATATTTGGGGCATAATTAAATACTTTTAGCTGTCAGGTATAAATGACTTAAGGCTTTGGTTTCACCGCATTTGCATAACAAAGAGATTACTACATTAATTAAATTCTGACATGCTCAGAATTATTCATGCCCTTCTGCATGTCATGGTATTTGGCCACATTCCTCCGAAATGCATATGCTCCAGACATTCCTAAGATTCTGCATGTTGTTTTTAATATATGCAACAATGCATATTTCCTCTATAGGAATATGTTAAAAATTTTATCTATTTCAATTGATTTGTGGACTGTCATTGTCAATACTATGCTTCTAGAGTGCAATCGTGGAGTCTTCCTCAGTTGTTGAGAACATGGCGAAAACTACAGAACTCAGTGAGGATCCCAGCATGAGTGTTGTGAATGCCAACAAAGATGGGAAAGGCTCTAAAGCCATTTCCAAGCTCTTAAGAGTACAAATTTCCACTGTACGGTGCATCGTCAAGATGCACAAGAAGTTCAATACTGTGAGAAACATCGGCAAGCATGGACGGAAGCCAAAGGTGTCTCCTCATCTGGTTAGGAAAGTGTGCCGAGAAGCTCTTTCGAACCCAAGGATCACAACAATTAAGGCACTTCAGGACAACTTGGTGAGATGGGCACCAAGGTTTCAGCGCAGACAATCCGCTGCGCACTGCACAAAGAAGGGCTACATAGGCGTCGTCCAAGAAAGACCCCTCTCCTCACTCACAGGCATCGAAAAGCTCGACACACATTTGCCAGAGGGCACTGAGGCAAGGATCAATGTTTCTGGTCATCAGTCCTATGGTCAGACGAGATGGAAATGGAGCTGTTTCTCCTGAAAAAGGCTGTTTCCTTCGTTTGACGCAAGAAAGGTGAAACATTCAACCCAAAGACCACTGTGTCGACCGTGAAGTTCGGAGATGGGAGCATTATGCTGTGGGGTTGTTTCTCTAGAAGTGGGCCTGGCAATCTCGTAAAAGTAGAAGGAATTATGAAGAAGGTGCAGTACATCAAGATTCTGCAGTAAAATCTTCATCTTGGCCCCAACTAGACATACCAACAGGACAATGATAGTAAACATACGGCAATGGCAGTCAAGAAATGGTTCCACGATAACAGCGTAGATGTGCTACCATGATCAAGCCAAAGCCCACGCCTGAATCCCATCCAGAACCTGTGGAAAACCCTAAAGACCAAGGTGCATGTCCGCAGGCTCTCCAACCTGAAAGAGCTAGAGGTCTTCCCGAAGGAAGAGTGGGCCAAGATTCCCCTGGAGCTGTGCCATACACTCGTAAACAGCTACACAAACCGCCTCGACGCTGTAATCAAGAACGAGGGCTTTTCAATTGACTATTAACTGTGATATTAACTCTTATTGATAAAGAGCATGAATAATTCTGAGCATGTCAGAATTTAATTAATGTAGTAATCTCTTTGTTATGCAAATGAGGTGAAACCAAAGCCTTTAGTCATTTATACCTGACTGCTAAAAGTATTTAATTATGCCCCAAATATTATGTGCCCACCTTTCATTCTTTCCAGAAACACACAAAAAATTAAAATTTATAAGGGGTATGAATAATTTTGTTGTTAACTGTAGATGCAAGTGACATGAACCTCTATTTGCTTAAGCTGCATGTATACAGAAACCTGGAAGATTTACTGCCAAAACTGACCATTTCTCATAGCAAAACTAGAACGGTGATGATGATTCACATGAATCTAAAATTCTCTACTGCAAAACAGCTCATGTCAAGACACATCCATGCAAATTACAAATACATGTACTGCTACCAAATCAAAAGGAACTCCCAAGTACAAGCTTTGACAAAGTATTACTAACATTAAAAGAAACATGAGTTGATACAATATGACTACATTTGGGATATAAAATTAATCACATTTTAAAGGTATTAACATCTTGTCCCAGCCCCCACCCCACCATACCATCCATCTCCTACTCCACTCCCTTCCCATCATCCAATCCATACCCTACTCCACCCCCTTCCCATCATCCAATCCATACCCTACTCCACCCCCTTCCCATCATCCAATCCATACCCTACTCCACCCCCTTCCGTAGTAGGTTAGGTAACCCTACTCCACCCCCTTCCCATCATCCAATCCTTACCCTACTCATCCCCCATAACCCATCATCCAATCCATACCCTACTCCACCCCCTTCCCATCATCCAATCCATACCCTACTCCACTCCCTTCCCATCATCTCAATCTGTTTCTTACCCCATTTCTTACATGTCTGCATGCACAGACTTGTAAATATGTGCATACAGTGCAGGAGTGTACATACATATTTGCAAGACGACTAAAAACTTCAACATTTGGAGTTCAATTCTTCATCAAAGATGTAAACACTTAAAAGTAATAATCGCACTTAAGGTTCTGATACCGACAAACTCCAGATTGAAACAAACAAGCATAATTAACCATACGCTGCCAGGGAGCCCAGTTTCGGGCAAGTAGGATTTATACGCGAAACTTGGGAGCACGAAACCGGACAAAAAAGCTCTCCTTGTAACAAAAGACCATACTCGGAACAAAAGACCTAGCTGCTGGGAATCGCTATCATTTTTTTTAGTTGCCAACAGCGGAGAAAACCCCAGTCCTTTTTTTGAGAGATTATACCACTGTGGCATTCGGCACAAGCGGATTACTACCAGGGACAAAAGCACTCCAGCAATGAGCAAAACAATACTGCTGCATGCTAATCTGGCCCTTAATGAAGACGGCAGTAACACACTGTGCCAGTTTTGGGAACAAAAGAAAGTTAAGTAACACCGCACAATCTGGGCTCTTTTTACAAGAGGGCAGGCCTGGCTGAAATACTCCGGCATCCATAGATGTTGTCTGTCAGATTAGTCACCAGACAGCTATTCATGTGGGTGTAAATGTTCAGTAAATGAAGCTATGACTTTTGAAGAATTTTGAATGTGGAAAATCTTGAAAATCTCCCGGTTCTATGTCATGCAACTTCAAATTCCACCCGGCAGCAACTGGTTAACATATACATGTACCATAACCCATAACCCCACATGCAAAATCTTAACATTAGGCAGACAGCTGGATGGATGCCCTGCCCAACAAACAGACAGAAATATGTATTATATACATGTAGGCTCACATTTGCTTTGCAGCTCTGCAAAAAGAGCAAGGGCTTGAGGAGTTGAAGTACCCAGAAGAGTTTATTAAATAACAAGTCCCAAATGGCAAACGTGATAATTGTGGCTAACAAAGGTGAGGTTACCTTCAATCTTCTTGTCTATGTCAACTCTATCATAGAGGTCAAGGGTCAACTCATCCCTGTCCTGGGCCTCATAGGGCTGTTTGCACATAACTTGGGGGCAATCTGAAATTTAAATAATATGTGGGAGACAAGAAGGGAAAGTTAA